GAATCAGCTGGATGAGGATGATCTGATAACGCGGGTGTCTGAAACATATGGACGAGGACGATCTGCAAATGTGGTGTTTGAAACTTCTGGACAAGGACAAGCTGCTAATGGAATGTCTGAAACATCTGGATGAGGATGATCTGATGATACGGGTGTCTAAAACATCTGGATGAGGATGATCTGATAATGCTGGTGTCTGAAACATCTGGACGAGAACAATCCGCGAACGGGGTGTTTGAAACATCTGGACGAGGACAAGCTGCTAATGGAATGTCCAAAACTTCTGGATGAGGACGATCTGCTAACGGGGCATCTGAAACATCGGGATGAGGAGGATCTGCTAATGGGGCGTCTGAAACATCTGGATGAGGAGGATCTGCTAATGGGGTGTCTGAAACATCTGGACGAAGACGATCTGCTAATGGGGTGGCTGAAACATCTTGAAGAGAAGGATCTGCTAATGGGGTGTCTGAAACATCTGGATGAGGAGGATCTGCTAATGGGGTGTTTGAAACATCAGGATGAGGCAGGTCAGCTCCCATTAGCGTGATGGGAAATGATGTTTAAGACAAGTTTTTATTTCCTGCTCCTGCTGTGTTTGCATCGACAGCTTTTAAATAATGAAAAGCTAAAAATCCAGGTCTGCTCTTTTAAAGGGACAGTTCACTTCTTTTGAAGTGAGGTCATGTGTCTTACTTATTGTCCAGACTTCTTTAAATGGTCTTGGTTTGAATAAACATAATTTGTTTTGAACGGATTGATGAGATATTGGCTTGCGCAAGTGAGGCCAAGACCTTAACATTTTCACTATCCTAAAGTTTTTATAGCTAATGCTATTTTATAAATATTTTCAGTAACATTGACTTTACGTGGTCATTCAGCATGTGGGACCGTGCGTACAGCTGGAGGCACTGGCAGATTAACTGTCATGTTAAACTGACAGTGTAAAGGTTCATAAAATGAACTGAATGAAAGTTTTCAAACTGGAGAGGTTGTAGGACAGCAGCAATCCACTTTGGTCTTGATCCCGCTCAGTTTAGCTGTTAGCTCATCAATCCAATCAGAAATAACTCTGTTAATAAAACCAGTCCTCTACTATTGAACCAACTATCTGCAACAGGTAAGATATTACCTGTTTACAACCTGTAAGTAAATGAATGAGAACACTAAACTGAAAATAAACAGTTTCCTGTTATGGCACATTCTACTTCCTGCGTGTACAAACAGTTTAGCACAAAGGGCAGTAAAGTTCCTCATAAAACCTGAGCGAGCCGATGAACTGAATGCAGCGTTCACTGAGCTGGTCCCTAAAAATATTTAAAATGGACTTCCCGTTAGGCTTCTAACTCTGCAACGTGCTCAGTCTGTGTGCTGATGGGCTTCGGCTCCACGTGTCAGAGTCATCAGAGGATTTTCATCTCAGAACGCTCCAACCATGTAACAACCTTGAATCTTTCTCATATTTAAATACATCTGAAACAAATTCTGTTGCTAACCTATAGTGCGTAAAGTAGGGTTGTTGTTGTTTTCTGGCAACGTTCACAAAAGGGAACTAGCGGATCCTGGATTTAAAGCCTGAAGGTGAAATTTTAAAGCAAAGCAACAGCCTGAAGCAGGAGATGAATTTAATCAAACGATCATCTTATTGTGGATTTAGAGCCAGCCTGATTCAAGATGGCTGTCCTAGCTAACTTTAGCAGACACAAAACTGTCTTTAGCTCTGTTCATTTGAAAAATATTGATGTGGCGTGGTAGTAGCTGAGAATCATCTGCACCACATACTGCGAGTGCTAACAGACGGCTGGAGAGCTTCATGTCAGGGTGAACACGTTGTTCTGTCAGGGCAGGGGATGAATCTGTTGATTTCTGATTAAATGTGTTTCTCGTCATTTTACATGAGATAATTGTTGCTTTTCAGAACACGGCGGCTGTTTGTACGGTCTGAGCATGAACCTCACTGGACCGTGTCCAAACAACACTTCAAGCTGAGCTCCACCGAGGAGCTCTGAAGCTTGAAGGTAAAAACCGTCTTCTGCTTCCTGAAGCCTGAGCTTTAAAGTGCTTCCTGCCTTTCATCAGATGAAGTTTAAATGTGAACAAAGCCCGACCAGAACAAAACAAAACTAAAACATTTTAGGTCCAATCTGCTCTTGTGTTGTTAGTAAAACGACCAGGTGACCATGAAACAAACACATAAATGATGTTTGCAAAGAGATTTGTGATCAAAACACACAGATATCTCTTTAAGCTTCGATGAATCAATAAGGTGCCGGCCCAAGAGTCATTGTCGTGGTCAGGAATGTTTGAGCCGTTTGAAGGACGTCTTCACAGAACCGGGTCAGTCCACAGACACACACACACAGAGCCAGCACACGACAAACATCAGGACGTACGCAACAACCGAACAACATGCACACAAACTCACACAACAGGTTGTGCCGAGTGATGAGCTCACAAACACGCGCACACACACACACACACACACGCACACACACACACCAGCAGAAAGCTGGGAGAGTGAACTGTGAGGTGATTACATCGTTCTCAGAGATTGTCTCGCTTCTTTTTAGACGCGTTGCAGAAAGTCGAGATTTGATTCAGAGTCTGACACGGCTGAGGCCAGAGGACAACAAGCAGACAGACAGGCAGACAGACAGGCAGACGGTCAGACAGACAGACAGGCAAACAGACAGACAGACGGTCAGACAGACAGGCAAACAGACGGTCAGATAGGCAGACGGTCAGACAGACAGACAAACAGATGGTCAGACAGACAGACAGGCAAACAGACAGACAGACAGACGGTCAGACAGGCAAACAGATGGTCAAACAGACAGGCAAACAGACAGACAGACGGTCAGACAGACAGATGGTCA